ATCAAAGAAGCCAATAATAAGATATAGCGAGGAAAATAGGTTTTGTAAGACATGGATTACCTCTTAGCCCTAACCAATATCCTTGGCTACTAAGTTTCTTCTCTAAGATTCTTCTGCCAATTTATCTTCCTAGGCTTGTTGGTGGGGGATTTCCTTGACTGGATTACCTGAGAGTATTTTCGAGTGAGAGGGAGGTGAGGAAGGGTTCTATCTGCTTCCTAATCCTCTATTTATATGTTTAAGGGAAACCTATTCAGAGTCTGAATAATAAGGCACACTTTTCTTATTCCCAAAGGGCTTAAGGTTCCTAGTTCAGGCAAAGGTCCATGATTCATTGTGGACTGCCTGGATTAATTAAGACAATTATAATTGGATTAAATCCCTCTTAATTACTTTAATTAACGGAATCAATTTAATAATTAATTCAGATTTGAAGGCCGTAACACGGGGTGTTACACCCTCCCCCCTAACAGAAAGCTTCGTCCCCAAAGCTTAGACGTGATGAGGTCAAACCTAACTCCTTAGTTTAAGGTTCAGTCTTTTTTACCTTGTGCGAATAGTTCGGGGTAGAGTTCCATCATGGTGCTTACGAGTTCTCATGTCGCCTGCTCGGTTCCGTGGTTAGACCAGAGGACTTTAACCATTTCTATGGTCTTCCGGAGGGTTGCTCTTGTCTTTGTGTCCAGGATCTTCACAGGCTTTTCCTCGTAGGACAGGGCGTCATCCAAACACACGATTTTGGGTTGTAATACGTGAGCCGCTGTATCACCCCGTATTACGGCCTCTAACCCAAACTAATTATTTAATTATTTACCCTTAAAAGAGAATTAAATTCCCTTAATTAATTAGGAAGGGTCTACCATAGACCATGGACCCTTATCCCTAAACCAAACCCTTAGTCCTATAAGAAATAGAATTATTAATCCCATACCATTCAGATCCTAATCAGGACTCTTAGATATATATAAGGACATAGGAGGCACCTAGAATTCACACCACAATAGATTTCACCACACAAGAATTCCCAAGAATTCCCCTATCACCAAATGTAGGAGAAATCAAGAAGAGGAGATCTTAAAGAAAGAACCTTAATAGCCAAGGATTTTAATTAAGGCTAAGAGGTAACCCATGTCTCAACAAAACCTATTTTCCTTGCTATAATCTTCTTCTTTGGCTCCTTTTGATATACAATTCTATGCTTGTGTCTTGATAAATCTTTTATGGTGATTATGATATGATCTTGATGTTGATGAGATGATCTTATGTGTTGATCTTGATAATCATGATGATTATAAGAGGATCTTGATAATTGTGTGTCGTTCTTGATAAATCTTGATGTTCTTGATTTTAAAGATAAAAGTATGATTTGTTGATTTAAATATGATAAGAGCCCTAGGTTAAATCGTGAATTTTGTATTGTGATATTCTTGGTATATTTGGGTGGGATTTTGAATGATCGGGTGTTAATTATGTTTAGAAGTCATGTTATGATGTATTTAAATGTGATTCTTGGTTTTGATCCATTACTTGACTACGTGGTGTCGTCGTTTGTGTTAAAAGGTGTTTAAACATGGTTTCGGGTTCCACGAAAGATCCCGGGACCAAAGTATTGCAAAAGAGTCAGTGGGGGGTAAGTGGGGGTAGGGGAACCCGCCACCTACCCGCTGCCTCTAAGGGTGTCAAAGTTTTAAATTTTAGTTGGTGAAAGTTGGAAATCACCACCAAGGTCCGGGGCAAAGAAATAGTGCTCTCCGAAGGCCGCTTGGCCAAACTCCTGAAACTGACCACCATGGGTGTGTGAGACTACGACCGGAAGGCATGGATCGATACCCAAGGCACAGGGTACAAGGATTACCTCGGGTACCTACTAAGAAAGGAAGATGGCTTCACCTCGGCCACCCGGCCAAACAGGAAATGGCTAACCGCCGAACAGAAGTTGCTAGTCATGATGGTAACTGACAGCTTGTTGCCCACAAACAACAAGAGCAAAGACATGGGGAGCTTAGAGTGCACCTTTGCCTATTTTCTGAAACACAAAGTCAAGTTCAATCTACCCGCCCTCATGTTAAAACACATGGAATTTTGCAAGTCTAGCAACCGGCTTAGTCTACCCTACGGGATGATCCTAAGTTGGATCATGGAAAAGAAAGGGGTGGACCTAAGCCACACGGAAATCAAACTCGTAAGCGGGATGATTTTCAATGCCCAGAACCTCCGCCGCAACGACATCTACCATATCGGAGAGGGACAATACATCACCCTCGAGGAGGTTTGCCTAAAGTCCACGGAGGAACGGTGAGAGTTGGTTGATCAGTTAGAAATCTCTAACAAGAAACTAAGGCGGGCAATGCAAGAATTTGGGGAACAAGAAGAACAAGAGGAACAGGAGGAAGATAGCGAGCCTAACCCACCTGCACCCGCACAAGAGAGAGGGAATCCGGGAGGCCAAGATGAAAGAACCGTCAATGAGCGCATCCTCGCGCAACTCACCCGACAAAACCAAATCATGGATGAAGGGTTCTCGTCCCTAATCCACGCAACGCACGCATTAGATCGGAGAGTGGCAGCAATCGAGGCCATGTTGGGCAAACGCGGGGCATCTAGCTCGGGAGCGGGAAACCAAGGTAGACCCAAACTTTCCAAACACCACCTCACCAAGCTCCACTCTACCCCCAGCAAAACGACACGTGGAGCCGCATTTCCTAATCAGGAGGCCAAAATACGTGACGTCCGGGGGTGAAAGAATGGATCCACGCACCGGCTTCGGGGACGAAGCCTCTTGTAAGGGGGGGGGGGGGGGGGGAGGATGTAACACCCCGTGTTACGGCCTCTAACCCAAACTAATTATTTAATTACTTACCCTTAAAAGAGAATTAAATTCCCTTAATTAATTAGGAAGGTTCCACCATAGACCATGGATCCTTATCCCTGAACCAAACCCTTAGTCTTATAAGAAATAGAATTAGTAAACCCATACCATTCAGATCCTAATCAGGACTCTTAGATATATATAAGGACATAGGAGGCACCTAGAATTCACACCACAATAAATTTCACCACACAAGAATTCCCAAGAATTCCCCTATCACTAAACGTTGGAGAAATCAAGAAGAGGAAATCTTAGAGAAAGAACCTTAATAGCCAAGGATTTTAATTAAGGCTAAGAGGTAACCCATGTCTCAATAAAACCTATTTTCCTTGCTATAATCTTCTTCTTTGGCTCCTTTTGATATACAATTCTATGCCTGTGTCTTGATAAATCTTTTATGGTGATTATGATAAGATCTTGATGTTGATGAGATGATCTTATGTGTTGATCTTGATAATCTTGATGATAATAAGAGGATCCTGATAATTGTGTGTCGTTCTTGATATTCTTGGTATATTTGGATGGGATTTCGCATGATCGGGTGTTAATTATGTTTAGAAGTCATGTTAGGATGTATTTAAATGTGATTCTTGGTTTTGATCCATTACTTGACTACCTGGTGTCGTCGTTTGTGTTTAAAGGTGTCTAAACATGGTTTCGGGTTCCACGAAAGATCCCGGGATCAAAGTATTGTAAAAGAGTCAGTGGGGGGGTAGGGGAACCCGCCGGTCACCCGCTAGAAATTCCCAATGTGGGATGGTGGTTTTCCCCGTTTGATGTTTCCCCGACCCCCGAGGTGTACCAACGGACCCCGTCTGTTGTGCCTGAGTCTAGTTTGATGTTTCGGGTACCATTCGTAGGATAAAAGAGTCTTGTTTATTGCATGCTAGTTGAATTGGTATCCCGTTGGCCTAGGTGAAAGATGTATGAACCCCTTAGGAATATTCCTAGTATGTGGATGACCACGCATAAGTTTATTTATACGTTTTCTCCCCCTTCCCAATGTGCTAATGTGGGTTGCATGTACTTGCTATGTGTTATGTGTGCATGATACCCCAATTTGGTTGCGATCAAATTGGCTATACGGGCAGTTGGATGGGTTGAGAACCATCGGCTGTTAACCAGGCCGGTTGCGATCGGTAAGGTATATAAATATATATAGGGTTGCGGTCCACCGTTTGGTTGCGATCAAACGTTATACATGAGCTGCGGTTCATAATCTGGTTACGATAAGAAATACACTTTTTGGGTTGCGGTCCACCGTTTGGTTGCGATCAAACGTTATGATGAGCTGCGGTTCATCGGTTGGTTGCGATCAACCCCTCGTGCTGCAGTACGAGGCAGGGTGCTGCGGGGCCGTAAGCGCTATATGCGCTGACCCACATGTATGGGCATGCGATTGGTCTTGTGGCGCCACCAAAGTGTGCTTATGTGTTGAGATAATGATTGAATAATGATATGAATAATGTGAAATAATCTTGTGACCTTAGGATATATGCTAGTATCTTTATATGCATGATTATATCTGTTGAATGTGCTTGTCCCTACTTGTTGAGTCTATTCTCGGTTTTAAAACTAGATCTCCTAGTATATATCTTCCGGCTTCAAAATGGTTTTCATATATATATATATATATATATATATATATATATATATATATATATATATATATATATATATATATATATATATACACCTATGTTGTATTTTAACGCATTGGAGTGGGTTACCAGCATTATTCGCTGAACAGATATATTTGGCTTTCAGGCACAGATGATTAGCTCCGGAGCGCGCTAGAGGACCCGAGGCTTAGATAGTTAGTTTCCTATTCGGCCTGTGTGCCATAATGATGTAATGACATTGTTTGAGGATAATTAGATAGTTTAGCCTTTGCATCTGAGTTCTCCAGCTCAGATGTGGCATAGCACCCCAAACACTTATGATTAGTATGCTCTGTTTTGGGATTTTATGATAATATTACCTTTATATAGTAAGTATTCAAATTTTCAAATTTTAGGGGTGTTACAGCCGCGTCGTGCACATATTTCTTTAGTTGCGACACGTGAAATACGTTGTGTACCCGCTCTAGTTTGGCTGGCAATGCGAGGCGATAAGCTAGGTTCCCGACTTTCTCCAGGATTTTGTAGGGACCAATAAATCTAGGACTTAGTTTCCCTTTCTTTCCGAATCTCATCACTCCTTGAGTGGGTGAGATCTTTAGCCAAACTTTCTCTCCTGCCGAGAATTCGGCCTGTTTCCTACATAGATCGGCGTAGGACTTCTGGCGGTCCTGTGCAGCCTTCATTCTCTCTTGTATGTGTTTGATTTTTGTTATGGTGTCTTGTAAATACTGTGGTCCCAGAGTCACTGGATTGACCATGTCCTCCCAACATATGGGAGTCCTGCACTTTTGGCCATATAGTGCTTCGTCGGGTGCCATACGGATGCTCGCGTGATAGCTGTTGTTGTACGAGAATTCGATTAGATCTAGATGTTCCTCCCATGTTCCCTGGAAGTCTAACATACAGGCTCTTAACATGTCCTCGAGGGTCTGGATTGTCCTCTCGGTTTGGCCGTCGGTAGTGGGGTGGAAGGCGGTGCTCAATTTTAGTCTCGTCCCAATGCCGATTGTAGTGTTTTCCAGAATTGCGAGAGGAATCTGGGATCTCTATCTGAAACGATGTTTCATAGGATCCCGTGATATTTGACTACCTGATTTATGTAGGCTTTGGCTAGTTGTGTCATTGTCCAAGTCTCTTTCATGGGAATAAACCACGCCATCTTGGTTAATCGATCTACTATTACCCAGATTTTGTATTGAGGACAACGATGATCCATTACGAGTCCTAGTAGATGGTCCAATAACAAGGGCGAAGGCTAAACAATTACAAGATGCCGTTGGAGGGCTAATTAGCGCTCAATGGGATATGGATCAATTTGATGAGGACAAGGAGCGGCCGGTTAATCTAATTGGGGTCCAGTTGGAGGGCAATTAATATAATTGGGTTGTGCTGATTACATGGATAGTAAATAAACTTATTGGACTATCCATTAGTATTCAAATAATGAGTAGCATATTATTTCTTTTATAATAAGTAGTCTAGTTATTTGTTTTAGTTAGACTTTAGTGCTATGTTTGAATTTAAACTATCCATGTCCTAGTCTTTAGGCAAGAGGCATGCAAGGGAGCTATATATAACACTCATAATCTCTTTGTAAAGCACACACATCAGTTTTTGAGAAATAGAAAACAAGAGCACTACTTGTGCCTTGCCTTGTTCTTGAGTTCTTCAAGACTTTCCGACTTATCAAGGATTGTTTTCTTCCTTGTGGCGTCTCCTTCTTCGTATCACCTTCAAACCAGGTGTGGGCGAATCCCAATCTTAGAAAACAACATAACCCTTCTCGCAACACAACCCAAATCCGTCTAACAGAACAACATCACAAACTAACCGAGACAATGCTAGCTCCGTTCTACTAGAGACGTGGAAAAGCCCGAGGACCAAACAAGAACGCAAGGTTTCCAAACTTCGTCTCTAGCCCGAGGATCACATCATCTTTGGAATCAGAGCCAAGTTGGCTTATTCACGTCTTAGAGGTTACAAATCACAACCTAATTTATATATTTTCTTACCGTCTATCCTCTATTCAATTGCTGTCAGTTTTCTTCCTATTGTGTTGTCTTTTTATGATGCGGCCCAACATAATGAAGATCCATCAAGAGTACCAATTGGGCCAATCACAAGGCCCAAGTCCAAACGATTAAGACAACTCTTCATTGGTGATATTCAAAGACGGTGGAAATCCAAGTCAAGCCCATTTGCAAAAGATGAAGAAGATTACAAGGCTTTTTATATTTGTTTAAGTGCTGATTTTGGTGATTAAATTAGGCCCAAATCAGCCCTATTATTTTTCGTCATCATTAATTTAAATTATTTGGCATAAAAGAGAAAACACTAGTTGTATTTAGAAAGGATTGCTTAAATCCTTTTCTAAATAAAATTCTATTTACATGTTTTCTAGATTAGGTTTAGGACTCTTTTTCCCATTGTATTTAGATTACAATGCTGCCCTATACCTATAAATAGGGCACATCCATATCAGTTTGAAACAGACTTTAATTCAATAAAATTCTTAAGTTTTTCTTTACACTTGTGTAAGAAACCTTATGGCTAATTGTGGACTCAATTAGTGGCTAGTCGTGGACTCGACTAGCAAATTGATTCGTGGACTCGAATCAATCTTACTTTCTTCAACCTTAGATTTAGGTTCGTGGACTCGTTCTTGAATCGAAGGAAACTAGATCCGACTCTAGTTGATTGAAGATTGCATCATCGAGGTACTTGAAGCTACAACGGGATTCTTCTAAGTCTTTGAGAATTCGAGACAAAGGGTTTCTCGGGAGGTCTAAGGTATTTTGATCCATCTCTATCTTTAGTTTAATAATAAGAACCAGTACACATGGAATCCAATAAGGTTCTATAGTGGGCTCATCACAAGGCCCAAAACTACATCCTTAAAGAATCATTGGTGGAAGAAAAAAGAAGGCCCAATAATAATTCCATTCGATAGAGGAAAGTATTATAGTGGCCCATTTCAAGTGATATCATGGATCGAAGACAATGCTTACAAGATTCGAGGTCGAATCATTTTCAAGAAGGTGAGGATGATGCGGCCCAACATAATGAAGATCCATCAAGAGTACCAATTGGGCCAATCACAAGGCCCAAGTCCAAACGATTAAGACAACTCTTCATTGGTGATATTCAAAGATGGTGGAAATCCAAGTCAAGCCCATTTGCAAAAGATGAAGAAGATTACAAGGTTTTTTATAATTGTTTAAGTGCTGATTTTGGTGATTAAATTAGGCCCAAATCAGCCCTATTATTTTTCGTCATCTTTAATTTAAATTGTTTGGCATAAAAGAGAAAACACTAGTTGTATTTAGAAAGGATTCCTTAAATCCTTTTCTGAATAAAACTCTATTTACTTGTTTTCTAGATTAGGTTTAGGACCCTTTTTCCCATTGTATTTAGATTACAATGCTGCCCTATACCTATAAATAGGGCACATCCATATCAGTTTGAAACAAGCTTGAATTCAATAAACTTCTTAAGTTTTTCTTTACACTTGTGTAAGAAACCTTATGGCTAATTGTGGACTCAATTAGTGGCTAGTCGTGGACTCGACTAGCAAATTGATTCGTGGACTCGAATCAATCTTACTTTCTTCAACCTTAGATTTAGGTTCGTGGACTCGTTCTTGAATCGAAGGAAACTAGATCCAACTCTAGTTGATTGAAGATTGCAACATCGAGGTACTTGAAACTACAATGGGATTCTTCCAAGTCTTTGAGGATTCGAGACAAAGGGTTTCTCGTGAGGTTTAAGGTATTTTGATCCATCTCTATCTTTGCATTGAGAGTAATCTTGGGACAATACTCCATCTTATTTGGATATTGGACTAGGTTCATATCATTTTATCTACCAAAACTAATCCCAAAAGCAAAGTGAATAATTTGCTGTGAGCGTTGCTCCAAATTATTCATTCGTTTGAGTAACCTGTCTATCTTTTGTTCTACTGTCTGGGGCAGGTTTGGAACTTGTTCAGCCATCTGTATAGGAAAAAAAATCTAAAAACAAGAAGATATGTGAGTATTCATGTTAGTGAAACCAAAAAGTTGGCTCGCTCCCTCACTATTCTAAGCTCGCAAGTAAGAGGTGGATTATATGGCTCAGGGGGTGCACTACACACTCTTACAAACACACACTCCACTCGTGTATCACTCCAAGTGGCAGATACTCTCACAAGCCTTTTTCCAAAAAGGAAAATTCTAGTCTGGAACTCAAGTTGATATGGATTCAACCTCAAAGTTCAAGAAAACGTACCTTGGAAAACTTCACAAGACTTTGAGAGTAAGGTGTATCGCGAGGTAGGTAATAAAATTGAGAGCAAGAATGAAAGAAAAAGGACAATACAAGCAAAGAAACTAAGCAAGATTTGAAAGAAAAAGGGAAGCAAATAAAGAAATATGGCAGAAAGATATGCAGGACCAATATCTGTAGATACACACAAATAGAATGTAATAGGGGTTCAGGTGTACCACAACCAAATAGGAATATATCAAGAACTCCTTCCAACCTTATACTTTTCCCCTTCCTTGTCCCTCCAAAATTCTCCTACCAGCCAAATTCTTTCCCCAACCTTAATCTTCTTCTTTATTGCTTTCTCTTTTTTTCCTTTTTTTTTTCAACTTTCTTGATTTTTTTTGATAGGTAACCTCCAAATAACTACTGTAAATGACAACAAAAATTTCGGACCAAGAGGAACCACACAACCCCTTCAAAACAGAATCAAGAATTTCAAAAATCGCCCAGAAAAACAGAAACAATTCCCTGACTTTGAAGATCAATATCTCACTAACCAGAAGGAATTAGACAGTGTATAATATATCAAAAGAACTCCCCAGAAGAGATCTACAACATATCCAAATTTCAGATAAAACTAACTAGTGGATCTCGAGATATAGGTAATTCTTTGAAACTGGTCACAGCTCGCGGAAATCTGGACAGGGTGTGATTGAGACGTGATTGTGCGTAAATGCGCTTTGGATATAGGTAAGGGTGAGATGGGTTTATTTTCTTAACAGAATTTTTGGTAATATGGTGCTTTGGGCCAATCACAAGATCCAAGGCCCAAATCGGCTTTATTATTTGTGGTCATCGTTATTTTAAATTGTTTGGAATTAATGAGAAAACACTAATTTGTATTTAGAAAGGATTCCTTAAATCCCTTTCTAAATAGGACTATATTTACTTGCTTTCTAGATTAGGTTTAGGACTCTTTTTGTATTTAGAAAAGGATTCCTTAAATTCCTTTCTAAATAGGACTATATTTACTTGCTTTCTAGATTAGGTTTAGGACTCTTTTTCCCATTGTATTTAGGATTATAATGCTGCCCCAATACCTATAAATAGGGCACATCCATATCAGTTTCGAGCAGGCTTTAATTCAATAAAATTCTTAAGTTTTTCTTTACACTTGTGTAAGAAACCTTATGGCTAATTGTGGACTCAATTAGTGGCTAGTCGTGGACTCGACTAGCAAATTGATTCGTGGACTCGAATCAATCTTACTTTCTTCAACCTTAGATTTAGGTTCGTGGACTCGTTCTCGAATCGAAGGAAACTAGATCCGACTCTAGTTGATTGAAGA